GATCCACACGAACTTCAACCGGTGAAGGCTTCCATTTACGTGGGATATCAACAGGAGACAGAGTAACACCAGAGAGACCAGGACAAGCAAGAAGAGAACGAAGCAAAGGCTCAAATGCCAGATTGAATAGCAATGGAGAGAGAGGATCACCTTGACGAAGACCTCGCAACTGAGGTACAGGAGCACCAAGCCAACCATTGATAGACACTGAAATCTTGGTTCCAAAGAACAAAGAAGACAGACAAGACACCAACTCACCAGGGAAACCAAACCGGAGCAACACACGACAAAGATACTCGGGATGAACCCGATCATACGCCTTCTCTTGATCCAACAAAACAGCCACTTGAGGTAAATCAGGAGCAACAACACGCAAGTGAGACATCAACAACTGATTTAACCAGCCATTGTCAGAGATCAGACGATGAGGGAGAAAACCAGTTTGATAAGGGTTGATTAACTTTGGCAACACTTTGTTCATACGATTAGCAATGAGCTTTGTAAATAACTTGGCATCACTGTTAATTAAGGACAAAGGTCTCCAGTTAACCAACAACTGAGGGTCACCCTTCTTGAACAATAAGACCATACGAGTTTGCTGCCACGAAGGAGGAAACACACCAGAAAAAGCTGCACCCAACACATCCACAAGCAAGTCAAGAAAATCAGTTGAAACACCAGCAAGATATTGATATAATTCAAAAGGCAAACCGTCAAGACCAGGACTTTTAGACTTGGGAGCATGAGTGAGCAGAGACAACAAAACCTCGCGAGTTGGAAGTTCCATTAGCATATCACCATCCAAAGATGATAGACGTACATCAGTTGGAACATTCCCCAGGAGAGTATCGATAGCTTCAGCATCGACAGCATCAGGGGTATATAGCCTTTGGTAAAAACCTTGTGCCTCCCTGTTGATAGCTGCTGCTTCCACCAAGATATCTCCAGTAGTAGAGCACTTTAAGGATTGAATTGTCTGTTGAGACTCTCGCACCTTGATCGAACGATAGAAATACTTGTTGCTACGTTCTCCCTGTTCTAACCAACGAGTGGCAGAGCGAAGCATATTCTGACTAGTCTCTTTCTGTATCTGATTCTCAATCAAAACTTCTAGTTGCCTGACCTGCTGCTCAGCATCACCTGTAGCAGTAGACACTCTGTCAGTTTGATCAATAGCATTCCTAGTCTCAACACCTGATACAGACGTTGACAGAGCCCTAATACGTTCCAGTTGAAGCGTAAAAACTTTGTTCTTGAATCGTGCTTTCATGCTTCTAGTGTACTTTTGTGCACAGCACTTTAGTAACAACTTGAAGGATTCCCATCTAGCCACCGTGCTTTCAGGGTCACCACTACCACCTTGACTAGTATTGACACCCTTAGACCCACCACCAACAGCACCAGAGAAGAACAATGACACCGTGGCATTCAACAACGCAACAAATTCCTTATCATCAAGCAGAGTTGGATTAAACCGCCAACTACCAGGACCAATACTAGCTGTCGCAGGCAACATTTCAACAGTCAAAAGAGAGTGATCCGTCCACCTACTGGGCATATATAGTAACTGACTATTAGTCAAACGAGGAGCAAGAGAAGAGTGACCAAAGATGTAATCAATACAAGTATTGCTCTTTGGAAACGTAGCTAAACCATCCGGATGACAATTGACAAAGTGAGTACGCAACCAGTGAACAAAAGGAGCGACATCGGCTTGACGAGAAGTAGGCAAAGAGTGCAAGTGAATGTTGAAATCACCCATAACCATCCAAGGTGTGTTGAACACATCAGACCAAAGAGAAAGAGAGAGAAAATCAGAGATAAATGAAGGACGGTCAAAAGACTGCGCTGGACCATAGATGTTGGCCACTTTGCACAAAACATTGCTTGAGGCATCTACGACAGATGCAACAAGACAACGTTCATCCAACAATACCTCCGTATCCACCAAAGAATAGCGAGAATTGAGACATATAATAGCACAGTGCTTGGACACAACGAGAGAACAATTAGGAAAAGCAAAAGAAAAGGAACGGACTTGAGATTCAGTGAGAGTAGATTGAGAGCGGAAATGAGATACCTCTTGCAAGCAAAGGATATCCAGATGGAGAGAGGAGGAGCGAAGATAAGATGAAAACTCTTTGAAATTTGTAGGATTAGACTGCATGAACAAGCTACGCGTGTTCAAGGAGCCAATCTTGATGCCTAATTTTGTACTCATTGAGCCCTACGGGCGTCTTGCTTAGTCTTGAGAGGCAATTTGCCATTGTTCTTGCTATTCTTGACACCAACAGCACCAGCAGACTTGTTACCAAGAACACCAACACCAGTACCAGAAGCAACACCAGCACCATTCACAGCCTTCAAATTGGCATTCAATTCCATTCGCTTCCTCTGAGAGGCCTCCTTGAGCTTAGACAAACCCATCATCTCCTCTGGAGAGTCAACATTCATAGTAAGAGCCACCTCATTAGAAGCGTATTTCGAGAATGCAGAGCCACGCACATCAGGAAGCTTCTTGACACCACTACCAGCAAGCACGATCTCATCATCTTCTTCCATAGCATCATCTCCGTGTAACTTATCCTGATGATCTTCACCTTGAAGATCCTCCATTTGCACCTCCAAATTATCACTTTTAGTGGACTTGTCATTTTCAGACGCGTCAACACCATCAACAACACCCTGAAGAGATTCTTCCTCTTCGTCTACTACAGACTCGAGTTCTTCTTCTTCGACTTTCTCTTCCACTTCCCTACCTGCTCCTAGCTTTGCCTTAGCAACGAAATCCATCAAATGCACCGTCTGTCGACGTGCCTCAGTGACCTCCTCCGAATCCTTCAGTTGATGATCCACCTTTTGCTTCTTGGCACCAGATTGATCCTCCTTATTAGGACAAAAACGCAACATGTGACCATGCTTTCCACATCCATAACATCTACGCTGGAGCAACTCAGGACATTTAGCGCGGACATGACCACTATGACGACAGAAATGACAAACAGGAGGAGCACCCTTATATGTCGCTGCGACAAAGAAATCAAACTCGCTGAGATAGAGCATTCTATCTAGAGGTTGAGCCTCCTGCCACTCACCACCCTCTACCTGATATCCCACCGAGGTATCCACCATCACCGAAAACTTGCCCTCAAAGAAACCACCACGAGTGAACTTCTTCACCTGCAGGACACGACCATAAAACGACAAAGACTTGATCAAATCATGCAAAAAAGTGGGTTCTTTGACGATGCGCATCAAAGTAAACTGGACAAACTTCAAATCACCAAACTCCTTGCATTCCTTGGCGTGAACAGCCTTGTACACCATGCCATTCACGTTAACACCAGTTGTCATAGCCTTGTTCGCATCATCCACCTCCTCGAACTTGGCTTCAATAAGCAAAGAACCATCGTTCTTTTCATCGTAGACACTTAAAGGACGAAATTCCACCAGAGAAGACACCTGGGTTTGAATTACCTTGTACGCATCCACACGATCACCAAACAAACCCTTACGGAAAGAAAAGAGAACTGAACCAGAAGTAAGTGCCTGCTGCACAATCGCCATTGCCTTACTAGCTAAGATTTGACTCTTCAAATCATCATCCTCAAACATCACAGAACCCACCAAAGGGTAAGAAGAAGCGGCGGCCTCCACCGAACGCCTCTTGGATGGCTGATAGAACCTCATAGTAGAACCACGAGATGCACGTTCAGCCCAAGTCATTTCAGAATTGACTGACATAGAGTGTAACTTGTAACTGGAGTGTAACTTTTGTTGACCTTTGTAAAAAAAAATAGTGAAAATGTTGAATTCGTCGAAAAATTGCTGAATCGATCTGAAATCAAGATATGTTGTAGAGCTGAAATGGATGTATCTAAATATACTTGGATGCAAGATGGATGTATCCTAGTTGTTGAGATATCGTCGTTCAAAGTTGGCAAAAACAAAAACTTTTTGAAAAGTGATGTATAAGCGAAAGAGCCTTCGTATAAGCGAAAGAGCCTTCCTGGCAAAAACAAACACTTTTTCCTGCGAAAGATCCGCAAAAAAACCCCCCCGAAGTCTTTACAACCTATTCGTCACATCAGAGTATAATCGCTAGAGAAAACCTATACCAATCTGTTTACAAATATAAAATATAATTTTTTAAAAAAATTAATAATATAATTTATAAAAAACTATACGTTAGCAAGATTATTAAAATATATTTTAAAAAATAAATTGTATTATGTAAATATACTTTATAAATTATCTATATTAAGTTACAATGTTTAAATATATATATATATTAATAACTTTTTTATATTAAATATTAATTACAAACATGCTTTTTATAATGTATGTTTAAAATAAACATAATTTTTTGTAGAATATAATATTTGTAAGTAAAAAACAAAATATATACCACAAAAAAAAATTTTTGTATTTAAAATATAAATGTTTTTGTTAATAATTTTAATATATATTTTGTCTAGCGATAACGTAACATATAGATTTTCCTCATAAATGGCATGCTAGCGAATAGGTTCTCTTGGTCTACAGTAGGCTCTTTCGCTTATACATCACTTTTCAAAAAGTTTTTGTTTTTGCCAACTTTGAACGACGATATCTCAACAACTAGGATACATCCATCTTGCATCCAAGTATATTTAGATACATCCATTTTAGCTCTACAACATATCTTGATTTCAGATCGATTCAGCAATTTTTCGACGAATTCAACATTTTCACTATTTTTTTTACAGCTCTTTCGCGTATTCATCACTTTTTATAAGTTTTCGATTACGCCATCTTTGAACAACGATATCTCGACAACTAGGATACATCCATCTTGCATCCAAGTATATTTAGATACATCCATTTCAGCTCTACAACATATCTTGATTTCAGATCGATTCAACCATTTTTCGTCGAATTCGTCTTTTTCACTACTTTTTCAACAACGCGACTTAGTTACACTCTAGATTACAAGTTACACTCTACGTCTGTTACACTCCATGTCTTCCCAATCTGAATTGACTTGGGCTCAAAGAGCTTCACGTCAAAAGGTGGGTCGATTTCTCCAGCCCAACAAGCGACGATTGGACAATCCAACTGATGTACCATTGGTGGGTACTGTTCTCTATGAAGATGATGACCTGAAGGGTCAAATTTTGGCAAGCAAGGCTATGGCGATTATTCAGCAATCCCTTTCTTCTGGTTCTGTTCTGTTCACGTTTCAGAAAACTTTGTTTCCTGATCGTGTTGCCGCTTACAAAATGATTCAAGACCAAATCTCACCTGACGTGGAATTTCGACCTCTTAGTTTGTATGATTCTCGTGCTGATGGTTCTCTGCTGATTGAAGCCAGGTTTGCTCAGGTGGAGCATGCACAAGTGGCTATGCGTGAAGGGGTGACAGTACAAGGTGTAGTGTACAAAGCGTCTACCTCCAAGGAAAGTGCTGAATTTGGGGATGTCAAGCATGTGCGGTTTACACTTATGCGTATGGTGGACAAGACCACTTTTTTGTCGGATCTTATGGAGTCCTTGTCGTACTTTGGTAAGGTACTGCAAGTGAAGAAGTTTACTCACCGTGGTTACTTTGAGGGTAAACTTTCGGTGATTTTGGATACTTCTGTTGGATTTCAGGTAGGGGATGAGTGGCAGGAGGCCAAGCCCCTAGATAGAATGCTCTATCTGAGCGAATTTGATTGTTTTGTGCCAGCGACTTATCAAGGTGCTCCACCTGTTTGTCATTTCTGTCAACACAGCGGTCATGTTCGCGCCAAATGTCCTGAATTGGCTAGACGTCGTTGCTTTAGGTGCAATAAGCAAGGGCACATGTTGCGTTTTTGCCCTGAAAAGGAGGTTCAGTCTGCAAATTTCACCAAGAAGCACAAAGTTCACCATCATTCTGAGGATTCTGAGGATGTCACTCTGGCTCGTAAGAACACTGTGGAATTGATGGAATATATTGAGAAGGAAAAATTAGGCGTAGGTAAGGAGGTGGAGAAGGTAGAAGAAGAAGAACTCGATTATCGTGTAGTCGAGGATGAATCTCTTCAGGGTGAAAGTGTTGACGAATCTGAAAATGATGAGTCCACTGGTAACGAGGATTTGGATCTTCTGAGTGAAGATAACCACCAGGTAAGTATGAATGAGGATGAGGACATGGAGGACGACAAGATTGTGCTTGCTGGAGCTCCCAAGAAGCTGGATACCGTGCGTGGTTCTGCCTACTCCAAGTATGCGTCTGCTGAGGTGGCTGTGAATATGAACATTGACTCGCCTGAGGAGATGTTGAATTTGACCAAGTTGAAGGATCTTGCTCAGCGCAAAAGAATGGAGTTCAATGCAAACCTGAAAGGTACTACTGGTGCTGGTGTAAAAGGCGATAACAAGCTGGGTAACTCTGGTGGTGTCTCTTCTGGTACTGGTGCTAAGGGTAACAAGTCTGGTGTTGCTTCTGGTGTTGCTTTCGGTGGTGTTTCTGGTGGTGTTTCTGGTGGTGTTTCTGGTGTTGTCAAGAATAGCAAGACTAATGGCCGTGCGCCTCTCAAGACTAAGCAAGACGCCCGTAGGGCTCAATGAGTACAAAATTAGGCATCAAGATTGGCTCCTTGAACACGCGTAGCTTGTTCATGCAGTCTAATCCTACAAATCTCAAAGAGTTTTCATCTTATCTTCGCTCCTCCTCTCTCCATCTGGATATCCTTTGCTTGCAAGAGGTATCTCATTTCCGCTCTCAATCTACTCTCACTGAATCTCAAGTCCGTTCCTTTTCTTTTGCTTTTCCTAATTGTTCTCTCGTTGTGTCCAAGCACTGTGCTATTATATGTCTCAATTCTCGTTATTCTTTGGTGGATACGGAGGTATTGTTGGATGAACGTTGTCTTGTTGCATCTGTCGTAGATGCCTCAAGCAATGTTTTGTGCAAAGTGGCCAACGTCTATGGTCCAGCGCAGTCTTCTGACCGTCCTTCATTTATCTCTGATTTTCTCTCTCTTTCTGTTTGGTCTGATGTGTTCAACACACCTTGGATGGTTATGGGTGATTTCAACATTCACTTGCACTCTTTGTCTACTTCTCGTCAAGCCGATGTCGCTCCTTTTGTTCACTGGTTGCGTACTCACTTTGTCAATTGTCATCCGGATGGTTTAGCCACGTTTCCAAAGAGCAATACTTGTATTGATTACATCTTTGGTCACTCTTCTCTTGCTCCTCGTTTGACTAATAGTCAGTTACTATATATGCCTAGTAGGTGGACGGATCACTCTCTTTTGACTGTTGAAATGTTACCTGCGACAGCTAGTATTGGTCCTGGTAGTTGGCGGTTCAATCCAACTCTGCTTGATGATAAGGAATTTGTTGCGTTGTTGAATGCCACGGTGTCATTGTTCTTCTCTGGTGCTGTTGGTGGTGGGTCTAAGGGTGTCAATACTAGTCAAGGTAGTAGTGGTGACTCTGAAAGCACGGTGGCTAGATGGGAATCCTTCAAGTTGTTACTAAAGTGCTGTGCACAAAAGTACACTAGAAGCATGAAAGCACGATTCAAGAACAAAGTTTTTACGCTTCAACTGGAACGTATTAGGGCTTTGTCGACGTCTGTATCGGGTGTTGAGACTAGGAATGCTATTGGTCAAACTGATAGAGTGTCTACTGCTTCAGGTGATGCTGAACAGCAGGTCAGGCAACTAGAAGTTTTGATTGAGGATCAGATACAGAAAGAGACTAGTCAGAATATGCTTCGCTCTGCCACTCGTTGGTTAGAACAGGGAGAACGTAGCAACAAGTATTTCTATCGTTCGATCAAGGTGCGAGAGTCTCAACAGACAATTCAATCCTTAAAGTGCTCTACTACTGGGGATATCTTGGTGGAAGCAGCAGCTATCAACAGGGAGGCACAAGGTTTTTATCAAAGGCTATATACCCCTGATGCTGTCGATGCTGAAGCTATCGATACTCTCCTGGGGAATGTTCCAACTGATGTACGTCTATCATCTTTGGATGGTGATATGCTAATGGAACTTCCAACTCGCGATGTTTTGTTGTCTCTGCTCACTCATGCTCCCAAGTCTAAAAGTCCTGGTCTTGACGGTTTGCCTTTTGAATTGTATCAATATCTTGCTGGTGTTTCTACTGATTTTCTTGACTTGCTTGTGGATGTGTTGGGTGCAGCTTTTTCTGGTGTGTTTCCTCCTTCGTGGCAACAAACTCGTATGGTCTTATTGTTCAAGAAGGGTGACCCTCAGTTGTTGGTTAACTGGAGACCTTTGTCCTTAATTAACAGTGATGCCAAGTTATTTACAAAGCTCATTGCTAATCGTATGAACAAAGTGTTGCCAAAGTTAATCAACCCTTATCAAACTGGTTTTCTCCCTCATCGTCTGATCTCTGACAATGGCTGGTTAAATCAGTTGTTGATGTCTCACTTGCGTGTTGTTGCTCCTGATTTACCTCAAGTGGCTGTTTTGTTGGATCAAGAGAAGGCGTATGATCGGGTTCATCCTGAATATCTTTGTCGTGTGTTGCTCCGGTTTGGTTTTCCTGGTGAGTTGGTGTCTTGTCTGTCTTCTTTGTTCTTTGGAACCAAGATTTCAGTGTCTATCAATGGTTGGCTTGGTGCTCCTGTACCTCAATTGCGAGGTCTTCGTCAAGGTGATCCTCTGTCTCCATTGCTATTCAATCTGGCATTTGAGCCTTTGCTTCGTTCTCTCCTTGCTTGTCCTGGTCTTTCTGGTGTTACTCTGTCTCCTGTTAATATCCCACGTAAATGGAAGCCTTCACCGGTTGAAGTTCGTGTGGATCATGGTACTGGTTCCCGGAATTGGACTTTGGACTTTGTCAGTGGCTCTGTTGCTCCTCCTCCTGTCAAGATTCTAAGCTATGCGGATGATCTTGAGGTGTTTTTGTCTTCGCCAGAAGAGTGGTCTGTGTTGTTGTCTGTTCTTGATCTGTATGGCCGAGCATCTAATGCGAAAGTCAATATCAGCAAGACAGTGTTGGTGTCGTTGTCTGGTGTGTCACACTCTGCTTGGGTTGCTTTGGCTGATTCTACTGGTCTCCAGTGGCATGACGCTCACTCTCGTGGTGCAGTACGTTACTTGGGTTATCCCTTGTATCATACTGAAAGTCAACTTCAAGACTATCTTGATGGTGTCTTGGTGAAGGTCCAGCGACACAGTAACTTGTTGAAACAAAGGAATCTCTCCATTAGGGGAGCAGGACTAGTGGCTAACTCGTTACTGTTGTCAAAGGTATATCATTTGTTGCGTGTTGTTCCTGGTGGTGCTACTACTGCGTCGTGGTTGAAGTCTCTCACTACGGTGGTCCGTGAGTATCTGGTGTCCTTTCGCCCTGGTGTTGCTTGGTCTACTTTGTGTCTCCCCCGCAAGTTTGGTGGTGTTGGTCTCGTGGATATAGCAGATCAAAGCTTAGCTTTGCATCTTGTCTATTTGCAACGTTTGTTGCGTCCACCCTCTCCCAGTGATTTTGTCTCCTCTTGGTTGGTGTATGCTTTTCAAGTTTACACTGGTCATAAGTCCATCTTGCCGTGGTTTTGTTTTCCTGGTCTTTACCAGTCTCGTGTGTCTTCTGTGCCTGCTCTAACACATCTTGGAAAGCTTCTGTTGAGATTGCCAAAGCTAGTTCCTTCCTCTGGTTGGTCTGCTAGGTGGTTTCTTGATCTTCCCTTGTGTTCTGTACTCAGTACTGTGCCTTCTGTTCGTCCTCCTCGTGATCCATCATCTCTTGATCCTCGTTTCTTGGTGTCGGATGTCTCTTTCTGGCAACCTGATCTAGGTATAGTTGATGGTGTCACCTCTCATCTTGCTTGGTCATCTCGTGTTTTGCGCCCTGTTTTTCTTGCCTTGAACCGTGATCGTGGTCCTGTCTCTCTGGTATTCCCGCCTGTCATGGATAGTAAGATAGTCTTGTCTCAAGCAGACTATTTTGCTATGCCCCGTTCTGATGGTGCTACCTCTTGGATGCCAGATTGTACACATTGGACTGTCTCCAACTCGTCTCGTTCTGCTGCTCCGGTTGCTCGTCTCTCTCTTGGTGCTTTGCGAAGGTATTGGCACCCTGCAAAGGGTACCATTACCTCTCGTATGGGTCCTCCCTTGAAGTTGCCTGCCCATTTGTTGCTGTCTCCTGCTTTGTGGCGTCTTTTCTGGTCCCTGGAAATGCCTGCAAAGGCTTTCACACCTTGGTGGCGATTGCTACATGACCGTGTCCCGCACCGCTCGTGGTGTCATAAGATTATGCCTACAAAAGTTCTGTCTCCTGCTTGTGCTCTTTGTGGTTTTGCTACAGAGGACCTTTACCATTTCGTGGTGGGTTGCCATGTCAAGTCATTTTTCTGGCAGGATGTAGTCTCTTTGTTGTCACTTCAAGAGCTACTCCCCTCTGCTTCTTCTATTTGGTTGGCGCTGACTACCTTTTGTAGTGGTTCGGATTTGTTGGTGATCGATGAGGATGTTCTGATTGCTCTTGGTGCTGCTTACAGTACACTTTGGAAGTATCATTGGCGATGCGTCATAGACGAGGAGCCTTGGATAGCTTCTGCTGCTATCAACATGGTCCGTCAAGACCATAGTACACTCTTTTCTTCTCTTTCTTTGGCAAGTGTTCAAGCTGGCACCTTGGCCTTGCCTGTAATTACTGTATAGATTATAAATTTAAAGCTAATAAAGATACACTTTAATACAAAAAAAAAAAAAACTATTTTTTTTACAAAAGTCAACAAAAGTTACACTCCAGTTACAAGTTACACTCTATGTCAGTCAATTCTGAAATGACTTGGGCTGAACGTGCATCTCGTGGTTCTACTATGAGGTTCTATCAGCCATCCAAGAGGCGTTCGGTGGAGGCCGCCGCTTCTTCTTACCCTTTGGTGGGTTCTGTTATGTTTGAGGATGATGATTTGAAGAGTCAAATCTTAGCTAGTAAGGCAATGGCGATTGTGCAGCAGGCACTTACTTCTGGTTCAGTTCTCTTTTCTTTCCGTAAGGGTTTGTTTGGTGATCGTGTGGATGCGTACAAGGTAATTCAAACCCAGGTGTCTTCTCTGGTGGAATTTCGTCCTTTAAGTGTCTACGATGAAAAGAACGATGGTTCTTTGCTTATTGAAGCCAAGTTCGAGGAGGTGGATAATGCGAACAAGGCTACGACAACTGGTGTTAACGTGAATGGCATGGTGTACAAGGCTGTTCACGCCAAGGAATGCAAGGAGTTTGGTGATTTGAAGTTTGTCCAGTTTACTTTGATGCGCATCGTCAAAGAACCCACCTTTTTGCATGATTTGATCAAGTCTTTGTCGTTTTATGGTCGTGTCCTGCAGGTGAAGAAGTTCACTCGTGGTGGTTTCTTTGAGGGCAAGTTTTCGGTGATGGTGGATACCTCGGTGGGATATCAGGTAGAGGGTGGTGAGTGGCAGGAGGCTCAACCTCTAGATAGAATGCTCTATCTCAGCGAGTTTGATTGCTTTGTCGCAGCGACATATAAGGGTGCTCCACCTGTTTGTCATTTCTGTCGTCATAGTGGTCATGTCCGCGCTAAATGTCCTGAGTTGCTCCAGCGTAGATGTTATG